AGAGATGACTTCTAGGGCAGTGTTTAGCAAACTTTAATATGTATGTGAATTGCTTCAAGATCTTGTTAACATACAGATTCTGATTTAGTTTGTCTAGAACTGGGATCTGAGACTACATGTCTCATAAGCTAGCTGCTGCTGATGATCTGTGAATCACTTTTTGCAGACAAGGCTCTAAAATTAGGCTTCCAGATCCTGTTAAGAGGAAAGCTTAGAATGGAAAACAGAGCATCAGGGATCTGAAGATTGTGGGAAAGATTTAGGAATTTAATATTACAAATTTAAATAGGGAATCAGAAAAATTATTAAATTGTACCAATATGTTTAGTATGAACTTAAAATTTGAAATTTTCCTTGGATGTTGGATTGTTTCCAGTAAGTATTTTAATCTTTTTAAAATATGATGAGAGTATTTGAATACAAAAACCTTTCATAGGCAGGCATGGTGGTGCATACTTATAATCCCAGCATTTGGGAAGATGAGGCAAGCCTGTGCTACATAGTGAGATTGAGGCCAGCTGCTATATAACAAGATTCTGTCAAGAAAGAAACAAACAAACAAGGGGGGGGGGAACTTTTGTACTAAAGGTTGTCAAAACATAAGCAACCCTAAAAACATATCTACTATCAGTATAAATACCAGATTGTTTCCCATAAGTAGTCATTAATTTTCTTTTTAAAAATATTTGAGCTGCTTAAAGAATTTGAAAGTTTTTATTTTTAATACTTGTAAAAATTCATGAACATTATGTTAATAGAAATAAACCATCCAAAGAAACAAGCACTGCCTGTTCCCTTTCATGTGGAAATAGTCAACCTGAATATAGAATAGTGATTATTAGAAGTTGAGAAGGGTTGGAGAAGAAGGGAGATAAAGCAAGCTAGGATTCAATTGGTGCATGCTGTATGCATGTGTTGGAATATCATACTAAACCTTGTTAATATGTGTCATTGATATGTTGATCAAAGTAAAATAAAATTAGTTATTAAAAGGCCATGAACAAGCCAAAAGCATACTCCTCTCAATGTAGATGCAGCATATATCAGAACTAAATGGAATCAACCATAAGAATATTTTATAACAAAATTTAGAAGCTATGGTACAAAGCACACGATTATTCTTAAAATATAACCATTAATAAATAATGATTTGTTAGGATGATTATCAAAATTGAACTTCAGAATGAGGCAAGTTTAAAGTTTGAAAGAGAATCATCTTTATTAGGAGGGCAAAATAAGATAACTGAATTTGAATACTCAAAAAGTAGAAAGTAAAATTAAATTTTTTTAGTTTATAATTTTATAGACTAGACAAGAAATTTAGGAATACTGTTTGGTAGTCCTTTGTATCAGGTAAAATGATAGATAAGCTGTTGGTATAAGCAGGAGAAATGGTAAGGAAATAGTTGGCATTCTAGGTTTGAGTTAGCACCTGCTGTGGTTTGTGTGTGGTTTGTGTGTCCACCAGGGGTCTATTGTGATTGGAGGCTTGAACCCAAAGGTGATGCTATTGGAAGTGGTAGAACCTCTGAGAGGTAGAGCCTAGTGAAGGATCCTTTGGTCACTGAGGGCATGAGGTGGTTTTTGTGGGAATCCCTTGGGTTCTCACCAGAGGGTAGTTACAAAAGGATCAAGCCTGGTCCTTACCAAATTCTATCTCTGCTCCTGGTTCAAGACACAGTCATGACTGGCTGTAATGAATCATGCTGTGATCCCAGTACTCTGGAGACTGAGGCAGGAGGACTGAGAGTTTGAGGACAGACTTGGCTACACAAGAAAGCTTTGTCTCCGAATCATAAAGGGGGAGGGACAGTAGAGATAGACTGGATCGATACAGAAGTTGTAATCACTTGCTCCATCCAGCACATCAGCATTTGCCATGAAGTCCTCATTAGAACTGAACCTGATGTAGGCACTGCGCCTTTGAAATTCCAAAACGAAAAACAAAATAAACCTTTTTATAAAGTAGTTGTCCCCAGTATTTTGCTATGGTAATGAAATAATGGCTAGATACTGGATTGTTTCCAATATGTAGTCATTAATTTTCTTTTTAAAAAATTTTGAGCCCCTAAAACAACCTTTTATTTTTATGTAAAATAGAGGAGTTTTGCACATTTTAAATCTTCAAAATCAGTGATTATTTTAATATTTTTGAAAAGGAAAAAGATCTGGACACTAAGAGAGGTCTTTTTGAGGTATTTGCTTCAGTCAGCTTAAATTAATTAGTAGTTGCTTTAACTACTAATTAAAAGTTGGAGGTGGCACCAAGCATCTTAATGGTTTTTATTTTTCATTTAGAAATTAAATTTAAGGAAGACAAAGAATTATAAGGAAAAAAAATGGTGATTCCATTAGCAATTTTTGAGATACAAATTTCTAGGGACAAAAATGTTAAAAGCTTTTTTAAAGAGTCATGGTATTTAAAATTATGTAAGAAAGTGAGAATATTAAGGTCATTTGAAAGGGATAAACTTTTTGTGTATGTGTGTGGTAGTACTGGGGTTTGACTCAAGGCCTCTCACTTGCTAGGAAGATGCTCTACCACTTGAGCTACACCCCCATCCCTTTTTGCTTTAGTAATTTTTCAGATAGTCTTGTATTTTTGCCTGGGACTAACCTCAGACAGCTGTGGTCCTCCTACCTATGCTTCCTGCATACCTGGAATTATATCATGTACCATCATGCCCAGTTTGTTTTGTTAAGATGAGGGTGTCTTACTAACTTTTTGCCCTGGCTGGCCTCAAAACACTATCCTCCAGATTTCTTTCCCCCTGACTAGTTGGGATTACAGGCATGTACCACCATGCCTGGTGAGATAAACTTTCTAAAATGATTTAGAACAGGTAAGGACATGGAAAACATTTTAATAATATTATATACTATTATAAAATATGTTCATTTTGTCAAAATTTTCTCCTTTATTCACTTCTGTGTTTGTGTTGATATATTCCATAAACATATACACAGAGTTCAATGATAAATTTTTTCAATTAAATAATTTTAAAATAAATTTTAAAATGACCTTAAAAACATACTAAATAAAATAATGCATATGTATTTTGCTATCCTAAGAAAGCTACTATAATTCCTTTGATAAATGGATGAAACATATCTGTTACCTTGTGTAGGTATTTCTATGTCTCTGTAACTTTTGTATTTAGAACTATATCAGGTATTATATATATATATATATAAAAGCTTACCCAAAGAAGCCAACTTTTGTTTCCTCTTAGACACAGAAAACCAAAAGTCTTGTAACCAAAAACCATATTATCATTTTGTCCATGAGTATACATTTCATATTCTTTTTACAACTATTGAACTTTCAAAAATAAGCATATATATAAAATATCATCCAAAGACCTTTATATATCTTTTAATATGTTCATTTAATGGTTATTTTAAAATATACAGATAAACATTTGGTGATTAGTGATTTGCATCTCATCTTAATTAGAAATTATTCAGGATATATAGAGTTTTCTAACTCAATTTTATATATAAATTCTTATATAAAATCTTAGGATTCACTAAGTGTCTGCAAATTATAAAAAGATATATTAGGCAGTATAGGATTTGTGGTATTATAAGAATTAATTTATTTTTTAAAAGGTATTATCTATTATAAAACTTAGTTGAACACATAACTTTACAATCTTATACAGTGTCTTGAAAAGAAGTTGAGGTTAATGTATACAACTATGAAATCAATGGAGAAAATGTAATTAGTTTTTTCTGAGAAGATAAGTTCAAGATTTGCCCAAACAACTATATCATACTAATATTATTTGTATATGTTGGCAAAACCTGGAAAAAAGACAAGTAACTATTGTTAAACAAATTTGTGCAAAGGGCCATCCCAATTAGAATTAGATGAATGTTTTCTATCCAATTATATTTCAAATACTAAGAATTTAAATTTAATAATCCTTCTTCCTCCTTATTCTTTGTACTAATGACGAAGGTCATTATTTACATTCATTACTGCCAATGTTTACAGTTCACCACCTGTCTAGATTGATTGCTTCTGAAAGTTCCAAATAAATATATAAATAGTATAATTTATCAGTTCACTCAGTTTTTTAAATGTTTTGTAGCCACAATGAATGTGAAATGATCCAGAACAATTGAAGTTGTCATTGGTGAAGAATTTTGAACATTTGAAGCGTGCTCTCTGTAACTGTGATTAAATAGAACTTCAGAATTTATATGTTGGCATTTTTGTACCTTAAGGATCATATGGAGTTTTTGAGAAAGTACTTGGAAGAAATAAAGTATTAGACATATGTAAAATATTATGTACTTGGGTTGCTTTTTGGTGTTGGGGATTGAACCCAGGGCCTTGCACATTCTTAGCACATGCTTTAATCACTGAACTGTACCTCTAGCCCCTGTGTACTCTGTTTTAACTAAGAGACCAACAATAAGATCTCCCAAGACAACCATGTCTTAAGTTATGATGCCATTTATATTTACATTTGGGCTGCAGAATATGGATAGTAAATTTGCCTCAGAAAGAATAATAGAGAGGGATGCTGAGTAATGTTCAAAGATGGCATAGCTTGAAAGGTAAGACATTTCTTTCTTCGTTCTAGTTGACATTTCACCCTTTTTGTCATTTGTATTTTTTCCTTTCTTATTGCTAAATACCTAATGTGGGAAGGTAAAGTAAAGGGTTGAGGAGAAATAATAAACAATAAAAAAATCAGCATTTTTGGGCTGCGGTAGAGCACTTGCCTGGCAAGCACAAGGCCCTGAGTTCAAACCCCTGGTACCACCAAAAAATAAATCAGCATTTTTATCCTGGAATGAAAAATACTATATATGAATGTTTGAATATATATGAATTCATACTATATATGAATGTTTGTTTGTATCATTGTATATTTGATAAAATTTTTTCTTTTAATCTGAATTTTATATTTGGGTCTAAATTATTTTGTCATATATATTATAAAGTAGACTTAACACAAATTTGCTAACTTATTTTGTTCTCATAGTTTTCAGCCTATGATCTCATCCCATCACCAAAATTAAAGCCCTCTCAAGTTATGCCAGTCAATGATGATTTATGTTTTAGCAGAAAAAGAGTATCAAGAAATTTATTTCAGAATAATCAAGATTTTAACACAGATTCTCTTCCTGTATGTGCTACTGGTAAGTAAAACTTGGTGGTATTAGATAGGCTGAACTAAGTTAGAGACTTCTCTAAACTTCATATCCATTTAAGAATTTAAAGAATTTATAATCTAGTAGACAGTTCACATTTAGTAAATATTTATTGACGATCTAAAGAACATGGACATTTGACATAGTTGTCTCATGAGACCATGGAAAGGATTCCCATTGAAACCTGTTAAGTAGCAATGTAGGACAATAGTCACTTAATAAACCAATCATATTACTGAACATATCCCATCAGGTATTTTTCTAAATACTGGGATAATAGCAGTGAACAAGAGCGGGATGACTTTCTGACTAATAAAACTTGTATTCTAGTAGGGGAGGGGAATAGACATTAACTAAATGCAATACATAGATTGACAGCAATAGATGCTGTGAGTAAAAATAAAGTAGAGAAGGGCTAGAAGCATGGTACAAGTGGTAGAGTGCCTTCCTAACAATTGCAAAGTCCTGAGTTCAAACACCAGTAGCATCAAAATAAATAAATAATCAGAGAAGAGGAATGTGGACAGCAGGGGGCTTTTTTAATATAGGGAAAGGCAGCTATATTTAGAAGGGAATATTTGAAGCAAATCACTACATATCAAAAGAGAAGAGCAAATTTCAGGAAGAGGGGATGATCAGTGCAGTGTGATTAAGAGAGAAGGGTGGAGGACATGTTTGAGAAGGATTAAAGAGCCTAGTGAATCTGGAATGAAATGAGTAAGAGAAAGAGAAGTCGAAAATTAGAGAGGTAACAGATAACCTCAATTATAAGGCCCACTGGGCTACTGAATGAACCAACTTTTACTCTGAACAAGAAGCACTGAAAAGTCAACTTGCCTTATGTTTTCCAGGCGCATTTTGGATATTTAAAGTAGATGAAAGAAAGACAAGGCAAAATAAGGAAAACTGATTAAGAGTCCCTTGTAATTCTGGCTAGAGTTAATGGAGAGTTTACCTGTTCAACAGTGAATGAAGTGAGAAGAGATTAGATTCTAATTGTATGTTAAAGGTAGCCTTGACATGATTTGCTGGTAGACTGGATATGGAGTGTGAGAAAGGAGAGTTAAGAATGCTCTAAGAACATTCTACCAGAACAACTGGAAAGATGTTGAGTTGCCTGCGTGTTATAGAAAGTAAATATGTGGTTCAGCAGACTTGGTCATTGCCCTGGGCTATATCAGTTTGGAAAGTCATTAAGGAAAGTATTTCGACTGCGTCTTTTTGTGATTCATATGACATAAGTAAAATGTAGGTGTAAGGAGAGCAAAAGCAAAAGCTTACATTAGGAATACTATTGAGATATTCTGGGAGCTCTGTCAAGGTAGAATGTTGAAAGATAAATTGGGATTTGGGAAATCCGAGTGTGGTAGGCTCAAATTTGAGCTCATACTTGAAAGCACTAAAGACTAATGGAGATTTTTTTTAAATTAAGTTTTAAAAAAATCTGTGGCAATATGATTGTTTATAAGTGGCACAGGTAAGAATTGTCAGGAAGTAAGATGATTTAATACAAAGGATAAAGAAGAGAGATAGAGAAGGATTCCATAACTTAGCATCCAGAAGGCTGAGACAGTAAGCAGGAGGCCAATGCCATGGGAAAAAATAAAAAAATAAAAAAAGACTTAGCACCAAGAAGGAAAAAAGGTAGTATATTGGATTAATATTAATGCTCCTACAATTTACCCTATGTAGGTTGTATTTTTTTTTCCTATTAAAGAAGAAAAAGAGGAAGTATGATGATACAGTGATACCAGTGGGAAGATTGAGGTAAAGGTGAAGATTGAGTATCTTGTGCATTTTGACATTTATTAATATCCAAATAATAGTAGTTACTGAAATTTGTTGACTGTGAGTTTGCATGGTGTTCAGCAAGCATTATTCTCTTGGAAGAATTTGTAGACCTTTCTGTAATAAAATTCCATAGTATTTTCATACAGAAATGAAATGTTATTTTGATTATATAGCTTAATTTGTTTGTTTAATAGAGAAAAGGAAGGACAGTAATATATCCAGTTATGTTCATACCATTATTTTGGTCTTTTTATAAGTGAGTTCCTCTACCATCAATAAACTCATTACATAGTTACACTGATTTTAAACAACTGTAGACCAAAATAATATATAACCTGATACTAGATTGCATGATATAAATTACAAATACCATAGGAATTCAAGAAAGGAAAGGAAGAGACTTTCTGAAGTCATTCAGAAAACTGCAGGAAAGAGTTGCCCTGAGCTAAACTTTAAAAAAGGGAGAGATTTGCAGCTGTCAGTAAGGCAAAAAGAACTGCTTCATGCAGGCAAGGATAAAGTATAACCAAAAGCATGGATGTGAGAATTAAATTAGAAGATGTCCAGTATATTAAGGAGTAAAAGGTCTGAAATCATAGGGAGATAATAAGTCATAGAATTTTAGAACTATACGGAACTACTTTGTTCCACATATGAACAAATTGAATGCCAGAGAGGTCATTATGGCCTTTTCTTTAGACTTCACCTGCCCAGGAATAACATTAACCAATCACAGGAGTGGGAAAGGGATTCTTGGGAAACATGCATGTATAAACTTAGAAACTACATGCATGGACAGGTATAGTGGTGCAAACCTGTAATCCCAGCATTTGGGGGGCTGAGGCAGGATGATGGTGAGTTCAAGGCCAGTGGGTTGCATAGCAAGCCTCTATCTAAAAAGAAAGGAAGGAAGAAAGAAAACAGGAAAGAGAAGAAAGTGTGTGAATGCCATATAGTATAATAGAAAAGAAGAATTCTGCAGTAGAACTTTGCAGAGTAGTGCATACCAGGAAAAATGAAAGTCACGTCTGGAGAAACACGGTGAGGAAAAGGAGAATTTGGGAGGAAACTATCTTGTGTATATTCTTTAGTATGCCCTTCTTTTCCTGTCCTTTTCCAGTCTGTTTTCTGGTCTTTAACCCCTGCCATTTATCCATTTTGCCAATACTGAGAGCTTATCACTGTACTTACACTCCTATATTTATTTCCATCTAAATTACATGAACATTGTGAAATAGGATGTATTCATGAGGAAAAGTTTACTTTTACTTTTACTTTTGTGTTTTTCCCTATCCTTCTTCCTTCAAAAGGTACTACTGGAACTCATCAGACAAATCTTCCTGGGAAATGTGGACAACTTGGATTTTCACAGATATGTGGTAAAACTGGCAGTGTGGATTCTGACTTACAATTCCTGGGGACAACTAACACTCATCAAGATAAGGGTATAAATCCCAAATTTATTTGGGAACAAATGATATATAAATATGTGGGATTTCTAATGCTAGCCTATATGTTATTTTGTATAATTATACTTATCACAAAAAAAAGTATTTGTTACATTTTTAATGGCAATATTAATGACATTTTCTTTCTTTGTTTTGGTGGTTCTGGGGTTTGAACTCAGGGCCTTGAACTTACAAGGCAGGTGGTCAACCACTTGAATCATATCCTCTCATCCCCTTTTTGCATTAATTATTTTGGGGTGGGGTGTCAAGTTTTTGCCCTGGGTCAACCTCAGACGACAGTCTTTTTACCTGTGTTTTCCACGTAGCAGGGACCAGAGCTACACACCACCATGCCTGCTTGTAGATTGAGATGGGGTCGGGGTCTTGCTAACTATTTGAGATAGGGTCTCACCAACTTACCCCCTTTCCTGTCTGAAACTTCAGTCCTCCCAATCGCCATCTTCCAAGTAGCTTAATAACATTTTTCTTAATTGTCGTCCTAAAATGTTAGATTTTGTGATCTTGTTATAAATATGACTGATTAAAGTTTAGAAACTATTGGTATATACAACATTTTAATACTAAATAATTTTAAAAACTAATATCCATTAAGTAGTACTGTAGTAGATAGTTTTTTCAAAAACAGCCTTAAATTTGAAGGATATTTAGAATTTCTTCTGTTTCCTGTTAGGAACTGTAATGTCCTATCAAACTATCATTTCAGATAACACATAAGATATAAAAGAAAAGGAAGGATTTGAGACTGTTATTAGTTATATGAATGTTGAGATTGAAGATTTTTAAAATTTCTATGGTAATTAATAGCTTTATGATTATGTAGAGATAGGATCAAATCAAATATTTTCTAGTAGTAGCTTAATTTTTTTTGTATGTGCTTTAGTAAATTTTTTGAGTAATGGGGGATATACTTCTATATTTTTTTATGGGAAAGTAATGATCATTTTAAATCAGTAAGGAAGATTTAATTAAAATAGCACTACATTTTAGTTACCTTCTTCACCTACTCCAATGGGTTACATGGTCATATGACTCCTTAAAACTTTGTTTGTGTGTTGGGGGTGGGGTTGTTACTCACAACTCAATAATAGTCTATCTTTCTTAATGATACTGGTGCTTCCTGAATCATGATTCTTGAATGTCTTTGGGACTCACGATTAGTGTAAGTAGGGTGTTTGCTGTACTGCTTAGTCTTTCTGTTTCACCTATCCCTGAATGATTTTATCACCTTTTAGTCTATCTCCACTGTCAGTGTTTAATCAGATCTGCATAGTAGCCCTGGTTTTCTCTAACTTCTCAGAATACCATTTAGAGCAGCAAGTATGAAGGAATATTATGTTTTTCTTAAGTTCCATAGAATTTAACTTAATAGACCAGTCTAGGCTACACTGTGAGATACTATTTAAAAATAAATAAATAAGTAGACATGAATTTTTTTAAATTACATGTAATATATACAGTCATTTAGGATTTCAGAAAAATATTTGTTTTATTTGTAGTATACATAAGCTAGGTCTTTTGTCATGGAAGTCTTGTTAAAAATATTTAAGGAAAATGTAATAAAACCTTAAAAAGATTGCCAGTGTACATTTATTTTTGCTGAGGAGTAAAATAAAAATATCACTAAGAGGCAAGAATAAAGTATGAAAAATAAAAAACACTATAAATAGAAAGCACAAAATAAGATGGTAGAATTAAAGCCAAATATATCAGTAAGTACCATAAATATAAATGGGTAGGACTTAACTTTTAAATTACAGAGATGATCAGGTCTTTTTTTTTTTTCCTTCATTGAAATGCTAGTTTTTTAAGAACCATATTTAGGCAAGCATAAACGCAGTTTTGTTTTGTTTTCTTATGTGATATTTGGGATTGTACTCTACCACTTGAGTCACACCTCCAGTCTAAGAGCCACATCAGTGAGCTGGGGCATAGCTTAGTGGTCAAGCACTTGCTTGGCATGCACTAGGCCCTGGGTCTAGTATTCAGTACCACCAAAAACCAAACAACAGCAAAAAAAGAGCCACGTTTAATACATCATACCAGGCATAGTAATGTCTGCCTATAATGCTGAGGCAGGAGGATCTGAGTTCCAGGCCAGGCTGGGCTGCACAGTGAGACCCTGTCTCAAAATAAGTAAATAAAACAAATCAAAATAGGTTGGAAAAAAAGTAAAGCATGAACAAGATATAGGCAAATGGTCAAAGAAAAGCAGGCATAAATATGCTGAGGATAGGGAAAATATGCACACTAAAGCTAAAAACATTTTTAGCACTAGAAAATGAATATCCTTATAATGAGAAAAAGAAAAATTTATTAAGAAGACAAAACTTTTCTCATATGTACGTGATATACATGTATATTATATGTATATATATATGTGTAATTTGACAAAACTGCAAGTAGGAAATTAATCTACAAATGTAGAAAATTTCAATAGGATCTGAATTAGATTAAAAGATACAAAATGTTTGAACATAAATTTAATTAGCTCTTTACCTCACACCATATAAAAATGTAATTGTAATATGGGATGAAAATGTGAATGTGAGGAGGAAAAAAATTTAACTCTGAGAAGATGTATATATATAAATAACATATCTTTTTTGTTTTATTACAGTACATGGTAGCCTACGTTTTGCCAGTAAGACACAGCAAACGTTTGGTAGTCAAACAGAGCACACTTCTTCATACTCTGGTTCAGATCCAAGTCCAGGAGCCTTCATCCTCCCATCCTATCCTCTCTCATCACCTCGAACTAGTCCAAAGCACAGTTCTCCTCTTACCGTATCTCCAAAGAAGCCTCAGGATAATTCCATTAATTTCTCAAATTCCTGGCCTCTTAAAAGCTTTGAAGGACTGTCAAAGCCAACTCCACAGAAAAAGCTTGTCAGCCAAAAATCATCTGACCCTACAGGTAGAAATGATGGGTAAAAGTCAGTACTGTGTTTACATTTTTTTGTGCATTTGGAGTTAATATATAGGGTTGCTAGATTTTAAAAGCTGGTAGACTGTTTTTTGTTTCTCTGAATTAAATATTTAGGAAAACATTTTACAGTGTGTTTAATAGAATAGATGTATAATATAAATTTGACATGATCATTTCTTTTCTTACATTGCCACTTTGAAATCCTTTTTTTAGGACCAGCCAAGTAATAATGCTTTAAAATGAACATGAACAGCATATGTTGCCTAAGAGTCTACTAACAAACTTTAGCATTACAAATATAAAATATCATTCAAATATTTGCTGTAATTAATGCCTAGTATTCATTTATTGAATGTTTATTATATGCTAAAATTATGTTGAAGGGTTTTCTATTTATTATTATAAACTAAAGTTTTCTTAATATCTCACTGCAAATCATCAAATTTGCATACAAGTTCATTTTGGATAAATCCACTTTCAAAATAAAATGTCTGTTGAAGGCATCCTCTGTATCCTATGTGATTTTGTATCTCCAGCCACTTAGCTAAGATGTTTATGTAATGTGAAAGGTTTTCACATAACTCAGTTTTGTTATATTCATTAAGGGATACTGATCTTTTAATTAATCTCATTTTGAATAGTAATCTTTATTTCAAATAAAAGGTAATACACCTTTTTTATTTAAAAACACTGTATTTCAAATACTTAGACTATAATTTCCACTTCTCCTCTGAAAATAAGAAAAAGTAAAATATGTATTTTTCATGCAGGAGAAAATTCTCAAGAAAAACCTACTCCAGTTCAACTTACACCTGCCCTGGTGAGATCACCATCTTCCCGAAGAGGCCTAAATGGAGCAAAGCCTGTACCTCCCATACCAAGGGGAATAAGCCTTTTGCCTGATAAAACTGCTTTAAGCACAGTGGGTCCCAAAAAGAAAGAGCCTGATGATATTTGGAAGAGTGAAAAAGACAGTCTTACGATTGATCTTTCAGAATTAAATTTCAAGGATAAAGATTTGGATCAAGAAGAGGTTAGAACTATACATCATTTTTAGTAATTTTAAAGCATAATTTTTATAATATAGTTATTATTTAAGAAAAAAATTATTTGTTATCCCATAACATTTTTTCTTATTTATAAAAGTATTTCATGTTTGTTATGGAAAATGCACTGAATTTCTACACTGAATGATGAAATGAAGGAAATTCATCACATCAGATCTTACTACCTAGGATGTTTTTCTATATCATACTGTGTCCTTCCAGCATTGCATATATTATTCCTTTTTATTTTTTTTTTATTATATTCATATGTGCTATTATTCCTTTTTAAATTAAAGTATGTATAATAATATTGGAACACATCAATGCACCGAATGACCACTCCCAATGAACAATTTGCCATGTTTGTTTCCTGGTTTTTTGATTTTTTTGGTGGTGCTGGGGTTTGAACCCAGGCCCTACACCTTGAGCCACTCCACCAGCCCCTTTTTTGTGTTGGGTGTTTTTTGAGATAGGGTCTTGCAAACTGTTTGCCCAAGCTGGCTTCAAACTTCTGTCCTTCTGATCTCTGCCTCTCGAGTAGCTAGGATTACAGGGGTGAACCACTGGCACCCAGATTGTTTCCTGTTTTTTTTTTTTTTTTTAAGAGTATAACATAGTTCCCTAGCCAATCCAATTTCTTTCTTTAGCAGAGGCAACTACTGTTTCCATTAATTTGTGTTTTATATATGTCTTTGTCATTTTTTAATTCATTTATTCACATGTGCATACTTTGGGTCCTTTTTATACTAATATTATATTATATAACTTAATTATGTAATATTCATACAATTTATTTTGGCTGCAGTGAATATATTTGAGCTTGAACTTTGTGTACATGTGTAAATTTTTTTATCTTTATGAAAGTGAAATCATGCTGTATACTCATGTTTGAATCCTGTGTTACTCTATGTATACTATAAAAATGTGGGCTGATCTATTTATACTATAAAAATGTGGGCTGAAGCTGTGGCTCAAGCAGGAAGCCCTGAGTTCAAACTCCAGGCCCACCAAAATAGAAAAATAATATTATGCTATAAAAATGTGTTGGCAATATGGTAACTTGGTACATACTAACCATTCCAGAGAAAGAATGTGGTTGCTGTATTTCACTGGATTCAGAGTATTATTTTGATAGATGCCTCCTTTTGTCAGTTTACCTGATATCATATGTCATAAATTGGTTTTACTTTAAATATCTAAACAAAGAATCATGATATTTTATGGTCTTATTTTAGCCTATTGCAAAGATGTAGGACTCATGCTGATAATTTGCTCACTAAGACAACATTAATTTTAATGCATATTCATTTTAAAAAGTATCTTTTCTGTTAAGCATGCATAAAACTAATTTACAGAGTTCCACAATTGATTCTTAATGATTCAAGTATTCATTCTAACTTCCAACTGCTCATGAAATCGTTCCTTGATGTTGGTACATATTTTTTTCTTTTCCCTCTCTAATGCATTGTGTTTTAGTTGGTGCTAGGAAGGGAATTTATTTGAAGGGAAGAAACATACAGAAAAGGTATTTTCCTACATATCTTATAAATTTCACTTGATCCTACATATTCCTGCATTATTTTTCTGTACTTTTTTTTTTGTGGTACTCAGGTTTGAACTCAGGCTTTGTTCTTACTAGGCAGGCATTCAACCATTTGAATTACTTCTGCAGTCCACATTATTTTTCTGTAATTTAAAAGTTGTCCTTTATCTTGTAGTGGATGATTGAAAGGTGCATTTCTCTAATATGATTATTACAAAACATAGGAGGACTCTTGTTTTTAGATATTCACCTTCCAATCTTATAATAAGGAGGTGGCTCTACTACTGAATTAAGCCATGTAATTGTCTAAAATATCCTATCCTGCCTTCTGGGTACTAATATGGCACTTACTGTTTTGATTGGGTCACTGTTTATCTTTCTTAAGATAAACATATTAAGAATACTTAAGAAAGGCATTACACATTTTATGAACTAGAATTGTATTCTTATGTCACAAAGGAAAGTATAATCAACTTTTTCATTTCTATTTTACTTGTATATGCATTTATTTTTACATTGAAATTGGTACATTTTATAGTACTTAATAATGTATCAATCACTTTTCTTTTTTTATTGTTTATTCATTTATTCATATGTACATTCATTGTTTGGGGCATCTCTCCCCTCCACCCCCTGCCCCTCGCCCCCTCCCTTTTCATTTTCATTAGTTCACCTAATCTTCGTAGTAGCTCCCTGTATTAAGTAAAGCAGTTTTTTTCTCTGTTATGTTTTTTGTTTATTGTGCATTTGACTGTGTTCCCCCTCATACACACACACTCTGGTATTAGGCTTTGAACTCAGAGCCTCATACTTGCTAGGCAGGGCACTCTACCACTTGAGCCACTCCACCAGCCATTTTTTGTGTTGGGTATTTGCAATATAGGGTCTCTTGAACTATTTGCCCAAGCTGGTCTCAAATCACAATCCTCCTGATTGCTGCCTTCTGAGCACCTAGGATTACAGGTGTGAGCCACTAGGCTGGATCCTATGTTTGTTTTTGCATAAGAGACTCTTGAGATGTTACGTTGAAAAATAATAGGATGTGGCTTCAAGGTCAGTTTACTGAATTCCATGTTCATTATGGATTTTACAGTACTATACTTCCATTAAGAAGTTTATTAAGCCTACCTTTCAAGTGTGAAGACTTAAGAAATTTATGGAGGTTTTATCTTCATTAACTGAAGATAGTTTTCATTAACTGCTTAATCTTATGAATTAAGATATAAGCAAAGCAGTTTTATATTTCTGTATTTCTTAATTTGTTCAAAGTTCTATTTCCAGCCTTAATATGTTAGTTTGTAATAATTTCTTCTCTGCATTTCTAAAAATAATTGGCTTCAGAAGTCTACATACATTGATCTATTAATCTAAACTAATATACTTAAAGGTTGTAAACATCAGACTTTAGGAAACTTCTTACTTTTTGCTAACCTTTTCCTAGAACTTCTAAGTAGCCACATCAGCATACCAGTCAGCTAAGATTAACTGTAACTTTCTGACTTTAAACTCTGTTATATGTACTATGTGATTCAGTAATTCAGTTAGTAGTTGAATTAATACACTATTTTGGGCCCTGTTGTTTATTATTATCTAAGTGATGAAATCTATATTTTGTACTATGTACATAGAGATATTAGCATCCATCTTGTTAGTGCTGGATTGTGGAGTGGCTAGCTCAGCAAAGTTAATTGAGTTTAAAATCTGCAGGGTGCAGGTAGCTCACACCTGTAATCCTAGCTACTCAGGAGGCAGAAACGAGTTTGGAGCCAGCCCAGGCAAATAGTTTGTGAGACCCTATCTCGAAAAAACCCATCACAAAAATAGGGCTGGTGGAGTGGCTCAAGGTGTAGGCCCTGAGTTCAAGTCCCAGTACTGGGGGGAAAAAAATCTAAAGATAAATTTTACTAATATAAAGAATTTATGTTATCTCATGAAGTTAATTGTTTTTATTTTTTCTTAGATGCAGAGCTCCCTCAGATCCCTTCGTAATAGTGCGGCTAAGAAAAGAGCAAAGCTGAGTGGCAGTACTTCTGATATTGAAAGTCCTGATTCTGCAATGAAACTTGATTTGACCATGGACTCCCCATCTCGCTCTTCCTCTCCAAACATCAGCTCTTACAGTGAAAGTGGAGTTTACAGCCAAGAATCACTGACTTCTTCTCTGTCTACAACTCCTCAGGGGAAGAGAATAATGTATTTTTCTTTGACATGCTAAGTAATATTCATCCATAATTCTTGATCTAGAACCCTAATGATGTATTTGGAAGAGACTTAAAACCATTTATTTTTTAGTTTTTGAAATGTTAAAATACATTTAAAAGATGAGAAAATTTACACTTATTACTTTGCTTAGCATTGCTTTGAGTAAGGATGGAAAGAGAGAACACAAATCCAGCTGTAACCTAGAACACCTAAATAATTATAATCCCTATTCCCAGGGCCCTTGTTCTTCCCAAGGTCTATCTTAATATTCTTTGTCTTGTATCACTTTTATGGATCATTTAGACTTTTGCCAGTTGACTTATTATCTTACTGCTTTCATTTTAACCTTAATACCAACTTCCTGTCATTTATGGATAAGGTCTAATCTAGCTCAGCAATAGTGCTGGAATTAGAGTCCTGCTCCCCCCCACTGCCAACAGAGAATTATTTTTACATTGAAATTGATACATTTGTTATATTTAAACATAACAATTGAAGCAGTGTTCCATATTATCACTACAACTTCTAAGTCTTAAGAAGTGACCCCACCCTGATTTCTGGGAATCTCTGTGACCCTGTTGTAGGATTTGAGGGAACCCATTTTCCCTTTATTATGTACAAATTACCCAGGAGTAGAAGTGCTCTGGCATAGGCAGGTATTTATTTAACTTAAGTAACTGCTAAACAGTTTTCCAAATGGTTGTGTAACTTTATATTCCCATCAGGAATGTGTAAGAGTTATAGTTGTTTCACATTCTCATTAATATTTGGTGTTGTCAGTCCTTTTAATTTTATTTTCCTTTAATTTTATCCTGAACCTTGTTTATATATAGCTATTAGAAGTAAATTAAAAATTAAAGCTATTTTCACTTTAGTAAACTGGAACCACTGGCAAACGTAGGCAGAGACCTCATAAACAAGGGAAAGGTGGTTGTTTTCAGCAATTCATACAGTTAAACTGTTCTTAGACATTTGTCTCATCCATGGTTTTCTCCCCCCAAGCTTTTTTTTTAATTGGTGGAACTGGGGTTTGAACTCTGGGCTTCTTGCTCCCAAAGTAGGAACTCTTAACTTAAGCCACAACTTCAGTCCGTTTTGCTCTGGTTATTTTGGAGATGAGGTCTCTGGAACTATTTCCCTGGGCTGTCCTAGAACTGCATTCTTCCAGATCTTAGCTTCCCAAGTAGCTAGTATTACAGACATGAGCTACTGACACCTGGCATCTCCTCCACATTTTTCACTGGAACAGCAACTTACTTTGCACTCAGAAATTTTTTCTTATAGGAAATTCCTTTGTTGTAAGGAATTATATTTACAAAATGAATTTGAAATGACTTTGGTAAAATAACAATTTTTACAAAGAATCAGACATATAAAACATATATTTACCTTTTAGACTTTCCTTGATCTTCCTTGAAGATGAAATTTTATGTTGTATACTCCTGCAGTTGCAACATCTTATAAAAAATATGAAAACCATTTGTGAAGTTTATTTTATATTGTAATATGTAGAATTCTGTGTTTTCTATACTGTCTCATAGAGTTATATTCTTCAAATATTGAAGTCTATAAGAAGGGAGTTGAGTGCATCCTCATGTATAGACTGGATTCCTTTTAATGAATTAAGATTTCCATATTTAAGTTTTACTGCTTATAGTAATTATGCTTCATCAGCTTACATCCTCCTATAAGAGTTATAGCCAAGAAAGCCACTGCTACCTGATGAAAGACTTATCCTCAATGGATTGAGAAGGAATAATTGTTGAAAACCACCCTTCTAGGCAGAAGATTTTTCTTTCATCCAAGTCAGTTACACTCAATATAAATGTGAAGTGGCTCAAGTGATAGAGCACCCGCCTACCAAGTGCAAGGTCCTTAATTCAAAACCCCAGTATTGCAAAAAAAAAAAAAAAAAGTAAAGTAAAGTAAACATCCAGTAATCTATTCTACAAATGTTAATTTTTCAAAAGATTTAAAATTGAATTCTCACTAAATCCAATGGCAAAGACACCTGCTGAAGAACTTATAATCTCTTTCTTTATAAAACTTACCACTGACCTAATTGACATTATAACAGTAACTGATTTGAACCAGTTTCTTTATATTCAGATTTAATATTCTCTAATAAAAGGTGGCCTGTTTCATTAAATAAGGCCTATGGGTCTTTATGTCAAGAAAGTATACCAAAGAATAGTTAAGAAGCAAATGATATTTGCAAACTTACTTGTTGCCAACCTATTGCTGATCAAGTCTCTGGTTTTGTCCAATATGTGATAATAAATATGTGTTAGATAATTAGGTGATTTGATTTTTTTTTAATGGACTTTTAAGTCGTTTTTTTTTTTATTCAGTCAGAGATTATATAGTATAAGTCTGAGTCATTTCCTGTTGCAATCCTTTCATGAATAATTAAAACTTAGCTGTGTGTTTAAAAGGATGGAAGTGCAAAAGGTGAACTGAGAATACCAATAAAAAATATTGTTAGCTGTAGCTTTTCATGCCATTTGCAGCCTTATTATCTAAAAGTCGAGTGAGTTAATAAAAAAGAATAGAGAATGTGTGGTATTACTGATGAACAGCTAAAAAAATCTTAAATGTTTATTGGAATTATTTTTTGTTTCATCATAGATCAGATATATTTCCAACATTTGGATCAAAACCTTGCTCAACGAGATTTTCTTCTGCAAAGAATAAAAACTCTCACATTTCTGAACAAAGCCCCAGTGCAGGTATTCTGTGACTGTTTTAAAATATGATTTATAAAAAGTGTGATTTTTAAATGATGTCAAAAATGATAGCAAGTACATTTCAGATTTAGAATTTTTGTAAATACCAATTATGACTAATCATTTTTAACCTCTTAAGCCGAGTAACATTATTTTGAGGGAGAAAAACTATTTATTTACCTAAATCAGTCATTGATTTCCCATTAAGTTCATAGTTCTATCTATGTCTGATTCCACCCGGATACTTTTATTTAGCTGGTATGGATTGAGAATTGTCCAGAGTTTTGAGAGCTTCCTTGATGAATCTAATGTACAGCATCGTTTGAAAACTACTAGGTATCGCAAATGACATTTTCCTTTAAAAATAAATATCTAGTTACTACTAGCTGTTACTAGTTAAATATTTTTAAAGGAACATGTGATTCATGTATACATAAAGTAGATATGTTCATATGTGTCTTGCGTTAACAATTTTGTAAACTAACCTGGAAGTCTCTTAATTTCATAGTATCATTTCTCAGCAAACAGACTTAGGAATTAGTAATCATTTTGAAAAATATTAGGACTCTGGTCTATTTTAGAGTTAGATCTAAGTAAGATTTTTTTTCATGATTAGTGAAACTATTTAATTGTGAATAAATTTTAACAAATTGGGTTTATGATATTTATTTTCACAAGATATCAACATAAAAGTGATAACAATTGTAAAGCTACTTTACATTAGAATTACCTTCTACAAAGCTGTACATAGGATTGTTTGCTAAGATTTTTTGAATTTCTTGCTCTTAAATGTCTTCTTAAATGTCTTAATTTCACCCCCTTTTTTAAATCCCACTACCACAACTTGAGTTCACACTCTTCCTCATTTCTTACCTACTTAGCCTCCTCAGTTTCTTCCCAGCTCTATTTAGTCTCATTTCAAACCACTCTATATAATGTAAAACTAACTATATTGGCCAGCCTAGATTCATTCAAGGCATCCTTCAATGATCTGGTTCCTACCTACCTCTCCAGCCTCATTTTTACTTCCCTCTTTATGTCTTGTGTCCTGGTTAAATTAGACCACAGTCAGTACCATTTTTTCTTTTTGTAATTGCACTTACTGTTTCACGTGAACGAAATCTGAAATCTGCATCACACCCTGTTCAGCTGTGAAAATAGCACAGTTGCTTCCTCTGGGAAGCCTTCCCTAATTGACAAACAAAATTGATTAGTACATCATATACAATCATCTTTTTTTTTTCAGTACTGGGGCCTCGTACTTGCTAGGCAGGTGATCTACCTTTTGAGCCACTCTGCCAGCCCTTTTTTGTATTATGTATTGAGATAGAGACTCCCCCCACCCCAGTTGGCTTCAAACGAGGATCCTACTGATCTCTGCTTCCCAAATAACTAGGATTACAGGTGTGAGCCACCGGCACACTGTCATCTTTTATAATGGTATTGGAGATAGGAACTTTTTTTGTTTGTTTTTCCTGTGGCTCTAGGAATGGAACCCAGGGCCTTGCTTGTGCTAGGCAGGTAGTCTACCTCTGAGCTAAATTCCCAAACTTGGTATTATGATTATTTACTTTGTTTTGACTCTCAGTCAGATTCTTTTTTTGTTTTTGTTTGTTTTATTACCTCAGCCTCCTGAATGCTAACTCTTAATCATCCTGCCTCAGCCTCATGAGTGCTAGGATTCCAGATGTGCGCCACCAAACCCAACTGACACTCAGATTCTTGATTCCCAGAGATGATTTCCCTCTGATTCAACCTACCAAGTATCTGTCATAATTGTGAATGCCTGACTTAACCAAGTATGCTTGTTATACTAGCTTCATAAACCTAGTGCTTCAATGGAGAGATAGCTACCTTGCTAGGCACATGAAGTCAGTGTCATGCTTCAGAGCCTGAAAGACCTTATCTGGAATCTCAAATTGCTGTATATTAATAGTAGGCACAGTCTGGGTAGGTTATTGCTTTGAAACTTAGTTCCCTCATCTGATGATATAAACCTTGAGAAAGGTATTGAAGATTTAAGTATATAACATGCACCTGGTGCATAGTGTATTATTCCCCTAAAGGGGAGAAACACGGAGAAATAAATCAACTTTTAATCCTTTTTAAAAGCTAATTATCCTAATACATTTATTTATAATTTTAAATATCTATCTAACATTGAAGAGACATCTAGCTTATAAAATGAACTCTCTTTTGGAAGAATATCTTTGGAATTCGAAAGGAATAGATTTAACACCTGAGTTAAATCTATCACCTGAGTTCTCTTATGATACTACTTGTATGACCTTGGGAGTTATTTAAATTTTGGCAGTGATTGATCTTACAATAGTACACGCTTCTATTTGCAGCATTCAGTGTTCCCCAAACTTGCCTAATATTTAATGTTTTCCAAACTTGGAAATCACCTAGGTGCATGTAACATAGATACTAGGCTGGCCTCCAACTGTCAATACTGTCACCTCTGCCTCCTGAGTGATGGGATTATAGGCATGTGTCAGCATACCCAGCTAAAACATATATATTTATCCCTTTCAAACATTGTATTTCGTATTTCATTGCAATTTTGAAGCCTATTTTAAGAAATGTTTTAGTATAATTTATAATAGATACTTTACTGGTAAGATTAAAAAATATATCATTTAAAATAGGATAAAATTTAAATTATTATTTCCAGTATTATATTGTTGACCTTTTATAAGGTCAGAAAGTGAGATAGATTTTAGAGGGAAGATAACTACCTATTGAATAATGTTACCTAAATTATTCAAGCAATTATTTTATTTTATAGGGACTATAACATCCAATGTAAGCATAATTGGTCAACCAACATCCAATGTAAGCATAATTGGTCAACGTATGAACTATGGGTTTGGATGTGGTGATTTTGAAGATGATAGATCACATGAAATTTTACCTAGTGCTTTAAAAATACAAAATAAGGAACACCCAAGACATTATAAGCATACAAAAGGTTAGTAAATTTCATGACAAATTAATTTTTAAGATTTAATATCTCAAAAACAAGATTTACTATTTCTCAGTCAGAATCCTCCCTAAGCATACTGATAAGAAATTAACTGAGAATTCTCAGTTTTGACGTTTTTCACCTTACTCTTCTACTGATACGTGCTTGCTTAAATAATTTTGCAGAATGGGAGAACTTACAGGTTTGTGTGTTGGTTTGTGTACTTACCTGAGGAGCCAATTAAATGGACTGCCCTTAAGTCAGTAGGAATCCATACTGACTTCTACCCCTAGAGCATGCACAGGTACACACAAACAGAAATTTTTACAAGATGTTTTACTACTAAAATGGAGTTGAGGCAATCATGTGCGTAGATTACTTCCAGATAGGAAGTAGTTGGATAGGAATTGTTAGGTTGTAACTGAGGAATAAAGTTATGGCAACAAGATGATTTCCTGGGAAAGAGTCTCAGTTATCACTAATCATTATTAATAATTTACATTTTGTTAAGCTTAGTAGTATATAGCTCATCTGCTGACTGCTCTATTCAATTCAATTATAGCTGCACTTAAAAAAATTTCCCTTAGGGAAAAAAAGAAGTGATTTTGAGAAGAAATTTTTGTTGGTTCATTGTTTTCTTGTGCTGCTGGGGATTGAATCCAGGACCTTGCTTATGCTAGGCAAGTGCCATACCACTGAGCTACATTCTGAGCCCCAAAAGAAGTGATTTTTTAAGAGTATATTTACATAAATAGAATAAATAGAAATTCCCTATAGTTAAGTCTTGTAATCTAAAATAAATGTGAGCTGTCATTTTTTTGTATGTGGCAACTGCAGTCACCAAAAGATAACTTTTGAGCTGAGTGTAGTGATGCATGACTAATTTCATATGTGAGTGGCTAAGGCAGGATTGCAAGTGAGTTTGAGGTTAGCATGGACTACATAACAAGATCCTGTCTCCAAAAAAAATAGATCAACTCCTGTATTTTGTTATTTTTGATCATCTTGAATCAAGTATATACAATCAGGCATGTTAGGACATTTTTTTTTTCCTTTTTATAAAAGTAACTAACCCAACTTAAGTAAGAGAAAACTTGATTAAAAATTTTTCTTGTATTTTTCTTTTGTAAATTTATTAAAACATAATCGATGAGCTAACTCAGTATCAGCTCTATATAGCAGCAATAAGTTGTGATTGTTTTTATAAGAGAAAATGTAGGATATTTTTATGTTTATTTACATATTTTCTTTTTTGGGTAAAGAAAACCAAGGACAAAATAAAAACTTAGAAGTAACCCATACTCTTAATATTGACATTTTTAATTTTTAATTGCTTTGAAGGCTGAGCATATGACTAGCACCTGTAAGATCCTGAGTTCAAAATGCCAGAATTGCCCCTAAAATAATAGGTTTCTTTGAAATAATTGCTGAATATGTTCTTTTGCAGCTAGTGGCATCTTTTTTTTGGACAGCAGAGTCAAAAACATATTTCCAACTTTTTTCATTGTTTTCTTTGTTTTTGTTTGTTTGTTTTGTTTTATTTTGAGATAGTATCTTAGGTTAGCCTCAAACTCTCTGTCCTCCTGCCTTAGGCTCTGGAGTACTAGGCATATTTACATCTTTTGACCAGCATTTGTTCTACTCCAGAGAATTACTTCATATCCAAGTTTCCAATTCTAAACCAAATGCCACTATCAACAAGAGCAAACATTTAAAACCAAACTTACCTTTCTTTCCAGATATGTTACTCTTCCATAGCATTACTCTTTTAGTAGTTATAGAGGCTTAAAACTTTATCATCATCTTTGTTTATTTCTCCTTACCTTCTAATTCAGGCCATGGTCCATCCCACCAGTTCTTCTCAATCTGACTATATCTGCTGCCATGATTTAAATTTTACTTACTTTGTTCATTTTACCTTCCAGTTAATTATTTATGCTTGTTTAATATCTTCCATATTATAAGTTTCTTAAGAATAATGATGCTACCATCTTTATATCCTCAGTATTCTTTGTATAGAATTATGCTCAGTGACCACATATGAAATGAGTGGAATGGTGATTAGCCCATCAAAACCACTAGGGCAGACTTGGGTTTGACATTATTTTAAAAAAGTGTGTGTAATGGAGAGGCAGGGAGTCAATATGATGAAAGTACCTGTATATACGTATGAAAATGTCATAATGAAACCCACTATTTCGAACAATTAATATATACTACTAATAAAAGATAACTATAAGCACAAGTGCATCTCAAATAATCAAGTTAAAGTGAATAATGACTGCAGTGCTGAAAAGAATACAAAGACTCACAAAAGAAACAGTGGCAATGTATTGCCAAATGGATTTATTTTGTAAGAAACCTCAGACTTTTTTTAGGATTAGCTCTCAGAACCAGCTCCTCTTCATATTCCTATCTTCTATTGGCTGTCCATATGAACCTGCCTTTTCTACATAGTAGTCTGGAGCCTAATTAATGACTTCAGAAGTGACTAATGATGAATGCTTAGAATGCTAATTATCATGGATTAATTTTTCCCTTTCTGTATTTGAATAAATTAGACAGAAATAATAGAGAAATTATGTGTCTAAAAGAAGCCCTTAAACATTTTCCTCTATATTTAGAATGGAAACAACAAGCAATACTTCTTTCAGAATTTAATTAGTTAGAAGAAAATGTATAAAAAAATGTACGAATGCTAAAAATAATGTCAGTTTGTCTTATCAGTGAGTTCAACTAGTAAAGATAAAATATCCTTCATATTTTTTGTTAGTTTTTCCTACTTAGTCATTTTTTGACAGCTTATGTATAGATTTTACGTATGTGAGCTGTCATTTATTGAGATTTTACATCCCTTTTCCAGAATACTCTTTTGAGCTACTCAGTGTTTCTATTAGTTGGTGTATACTGTATCATAATTTTGATTATTCCAAATTATACTGGAGAAATATATGAAAAATGATCACCTTCATGGCTTTCTTTCTTTAAATTTCTGTTGTGTTCACACAAAGCCAGAAAAAGTCTATTAGCTTTGGCAGGTTAACAAAACAATCTGCTTAATATTTTTTCAGATCAGTTATTTGATTAAATTTACCAGTGATTTACCAAAATCAGTTAACTATTTTACTTTCATAAACCCTAAATAAATTATATTTCTCCTTTGATACAGCAGTCTAATATATTACTGAACAGCTAGTCTGTGTCAAGCACTATATTAGGCTCTGGGAAAGAATGATAATCAAAACTGGACATAGAGCTTCCAAACTACTAGGAGAGGAAATAATAAGTAAATAATGAGAAAATTAGATTAAAAATTAACCTAGAAAAGTACAGGTTGCTGTGAGGTTGACCTAATCAGGTTATTTCCTTCGTTTGTGTACCCTGATGACCATTCTGTGATTATATGCTTATATGTGTCTCCCACCTTCAACCTTGGTATTGAAGACTCTTTAAACAAACCAAAGTTTCTTTTCTCTGTAGACCCTATTGTATACTAGATATTCTAATTATAAATATACCTTGAATTACTGGACATGTGATTAAATAAATTATAAATTCTTTGTATGAAATAAAATTTCAAATTTAAAAGACTATTATAATGTGCTAAAATACAGTATACAGTGCTGCGTAAACATTTTTAAATGTGGAGTTTGTTGTTTTTCTTTCTTTTTTAAGGATTTACAAGATCATCACATTCACAGCAAATTTCCAGTTTTGACTTCATATCCACAAATACCTTATCAGAAGACTCAGTAGTAGTTGTTGGAAAAGGTATTTCAAAGTTATTTAGCTTCTAAATTGCATATGTTCTTCACGCATAAGCAAAGATTGCCAGCATTAAACTGAAAGAATTAGAAGTGAATACTTATTTTTGCATTTCTGTCTTCTAACAGAACTATGATAAATTCAAGTCAATAATTTTCAGAGATGTATTATGTGACTGCTGTAATCGAAGTACTTCTAAGAAAAGTTTAGTATAACTATGATAATTTTAACATAGTTTAAATTCAAATGGCAATCTTTTCAGCTTTAATGACTAATATAACCTCATATAGAATTTATTATTTCCCAGGCGAAGTGTAGATGAATCAGAATTAACCCCTCATATATTTTAGGGAGTAAAGTGACCTTTGGACAACATAATTGAAAATATCTTTTAAAATTAATTTCTTTTTCAACTGAAAAACTATGGTGATATGGTGAGATACATTGAAGATATATATATATCTTTTTGTTTAATATAATCAAATAGAATAAAATGCTTGGAAATAGTTTCTAATTTTTTTGCTTCATAATCTCAGTAGAAAGTACCATCACATAAACACCTAATGATTATTTGATGGTTATTTCATTACAGGTGTATTCGGAAGTCCAAATTCAGCACCAACATCTGGCAACCAACCAGTGATATCATCTGTGGGAAATGAGAGTACATTTTCAATTAAACAAAGTATTGAACCACCATCAGGGATTTATGGAAGAGCAGTCCAACAAAGTATTCCATCGTATCTTGATGTTGAAAATGACAAAGATGTAAGGTTATTCACTAATCATTAGGATAAACTTAAGCTTATAAAATATCATTATTTTCGTTTATATCAAATGTGGGATGGTAAAACTATTTTGATTAAAATATTTTAAATCTTAAAAATTCAGGTGTGGTGGTACAAACCTTTAATCCTAGTACTCAAGAGGCCACAGCAGGAGGAGGTCAATTTGAAGCCTACCTGTGCCATATTAGTAAGACTGTCTCAAACACCACCACCTCCAAAAAAATTTTTTTTAGTGTTATTGGTATAATTGACAATTGACATTTCTTAATCTTAGTCATTTAAATAGTAGATGATTTTCCTTTCCCACTAAATAAATGCATTCTCATTCTGGTAATTTAGTATCTAATATGGTTTATAGTATACACATACTTTATATATATATATATGTATGTTTTATGTGTGTATCCAGCAGTTTTCTAGGATACATTCAAGTAGCGACACTTTTAGGCACAGATTTAATTGTACATTGTATTGGATTTAATTGTGTATTATATGTAATTGTTTTAGATTTTAGGATTCCTAAAATAAGGACTAAAAAAGTAATTTGTGTAGATATTTAAAGTATATGTGTAGAATTAATTATCTGAGATGAAGATACTTTAAATGTCAAACTTCCTGAATACTTTTGAATATTTGAACATTTTTATACAGACTAAAGTTTCTATTTCAAAATCTACTTATGACAAGATGAGACAAAAGAGAAAAGAAGAAAAAGAACTTTTTGATGTTAAAGATTGTGGAAAGAAAGAACAGAATCCCTGGGAACAAATGAAACATACAGTAACTGAGAAAATGACTTCTGAAAGTAAGTGGGATTTGCCTTTTGGTCTGTTTTTGTCTACTGATATTCTAAAGCTGGAGTAATATGGTTTAACTGACCGTGATGTATTATGACTAAGAGTGGACAAGTTTGGCCTATGATTCTTAAATTTGCAAGACCCAGTAGTTTCTATTATAAGTATTAATTCTTTCTCATAAAAAGAAAAATGATTGATTTTTTTTTTCTCCCTTCTAGACTTAACTATTTTTAGAGATGAAGTGAGAATATCAAAAAGTGAGAATTCCCCTTTAGAAATTGCCTTTAGTCCTCCATTGAAAGGAGGGTCCAATTTAAAACGGTCACCATCTTTAACGTTTTCAGATTCAGGTAAGTCATTTATTTAAATGTAAAGAGTAATGCCATAAATGCTTGTTAAGATGAAGAGACCACATGTGGTCTAGTGCATTTGTGACAAAAAAAGCACTGATGACAAGTCAGTACACAACTGGCTTAAGTATCAGTTCTGCCTTTAATTAACTTAGCTGGAAACAGGCCTCAATTTTCCACCCCTCTAAATATCAATGATCTCAAGGATCCCTTCCATCCTCACTAGAAATATCTTTCACTAAGGAGTAATAAACTTTTTTTTTTTTTCTTTTTTGTGACTCTGGGTTTCAAACTCAGACCCTTGCCCATGACAAATTAGAGCTCTACTATTGGGCTTTATCCCCAGCCTGGTATCCCATTTTTATAACTAAGGTAACTTAATTAGTGAAGCTGGTTTATATTAGATCATGATTTTTTAAAAATCAGTCTATTTATCATTTATCCTGTCATTGAGTACTGGTATATTATACTATGCTTAGGCAAGAAGAGTAGGCTCCATGTTTCTTGGGCTGTTTTGAAACATTGGATAGATTGAACTGAAAAATTTTGTGAACTGTAATAAACATTAAGGATTATTGCTTACATATTTTTATTAAATATTATCATTTATTATTAAAGAATAAACTGCCTGAACTGTAATAAGCATTCTTAAATTTATGACAAGTCTGAAATCTAGATTTTGACAAAATTATAGGAAAATTAATATGTAAATGTATTTTTAGGCAACATACCTTTCTTAAGATAAAAATAAAAGAAATTTAAACTATATGAGTGTCTAAGGCTCCACTTTAGCTTATATTTCTTTTATAATCCAAGAAACAGAAAACTTTTTATAATTTTGTGTTCACAAAGCTAATTTTTGAGAGTATGCTTGGTGAGAGGTGTTGGGTGGTAAAATTGTTAATTAAACATGACTGTGTAACCTGCTAAATATAGGCAGTTATGAAATTAAGATTATTAGCATTCTTGAATATATTCACTATTTGTTAATCTTATAAAATCCCGGGAGAGAGAAATCCACTAAGTCAGTGGTAAGAATAGGAACAGAAGTACAAATATAATAGTATAAATAGTAATAAATCATGAATTTGGCAATATTCATTTTTGCTGGAGAAATTCACAAATTTTGTGATTTTTGCCTATAATGTAGACTTTCTGGGTTAGATTTCTGAGAAGTATAAGAGTGCTTTCTTTTTTTTATTATAAATTTTTTAATTCAGATATATTGATTATGGGGAGGATTTGCAGTGACAATTCCAATCAGTCTTATGTTGCACATTATTTACATTGACCTCATAGTGTCTCCCCCTCAACCCTCTCCCCACCCCACTTAAAGCAGTTGCAAGAGGTTTTTTAGTTCTGTTTCAGATAGGTATGTAATGTCCATCAACCATCTACCATCACCTTAATCGCCTTCCTTCACCCTCCCCACTCCCAGTAGTACCTTGCCCCTCCCCACACACACACTGTGCCTATTTTATAGTCTTGGTTTTCATTATTAATATTTGAATTGACATTCATAGGGGTATCTCAGTGCATGCCCACTGTGGGTGTGCTTTACTTTGGTCTGTTCAATCCCTTTGAATACTCTTCCTTACCCCTTTACCTCCCTCTCCCCATTTTTCAGCAGCTTTCAATACACATCTTTATATCCTCTACCTTCACATCTTTAGTATGTGATATTACTGATGCTTTATCATTCTCTTTCCCAGAGTTCCATAAAGTAGTTCCACTATTACAAACATTCTACAACTGAGTTTGTATATGATCATGCTTGTTTTTGTGTATATGTTTATCTTTGGATCTATCTTCCACGTATGAGAGAAAACATAAATCTTTTGTGTTTCTAATCCTGGTTAACACCACTTAACTTGATGTCCTCCAATTGCATCCACTTACCTCAAACCCCATGTCATCATTCTTTATGAGTAATACTCCATTCTGTATATATACCACAATTTCATGATCCATTCATCAGTTGTAGGGCATTTGGATTGTTTCCATATGTTGGCTATTGTGAATAGTGCTGCAATGAACATTGGTGTACAGGTGTCTCTACTGTATACTGTTTTACATTCTTTTGGGTATCACTGGATCATACGGCAGTTCTATCTCTAGTTTTTTAAAGAATCTCCATACTGCTTTCCATAGTGGTTGTACTAATTTGCATTCCCACCATCAGTATATGAGGGTTCCTGTTTCACCACATCCTTGCCAGCATTTGTTATTGTTATTCCCCTTGATTATGGCCTTTCTAACTGGAGTGAGATCAAATCTAAGTGTTGTTTTGATTTGCATCTCTTTTATAACCAGGGAATTTATTTACTAGCTGTGTGTACCTCTTCCTTTGAGAATTCCCTGTTTAATTCATGTGCGCATTTCTTCATTGGGGTATTGATTCTTTGGGGAATGAGTTTTTTGAGTTCTCTGTAGATTCTGGATATTAGTCCTTCATTAGATGAGTAGCTGGCAAAGATTTTCTCCCATTCTGTGAGCTGTCTCTTGAGTCAGGTGACTGTTTCCTTTGCTGTGCAGAAGCTCTTTAGTTTGATGTAATCCCATTTGTTCGTTGTTCCTCTTAGATGCTGAGACTTTTAAGTTATTTTTAGGATATCATTCCCTGCACTTCTCTGTTCCTGTGTGTTTCCTACTGCTTCTTGGAGTTGTTTCAAAGTTTCAGGCTTTGTATTAAGGTCTTTGATCCACTTTGAGTTGATTTTGGTACAGGGTGAAAGACAGAGATCTAGTTTCCGTCTTCTGCATGTGGCTATCCAGTTTTCCCAGCATCATTTGTTGAAGAGGCTGTCTTTTCTCTATCGTGTGTTTTGGGCTCTTTTGTTGAAGAACAGTTGGCTGTAGATGTGTGGGTTTATGTCTGGGTCTTCTATTCTGATCTGTTGGTCTTCCTGTCTGTTTTTGTGCCAATACCATGCTGTTTTCATTCTTATGGCTCTGTAGCATAGTTTGAAGTCAGGTGTAGTGATGCCTCCAACACTGGACTTTTTGCTCAGGATTGCTTTTGCTATTTGAGGTCTTCTGTGTTTCCATATGTATTTCATGATTTCTTTTTTATTTCTGTGCAGAACATAATTGTAATTTTGATAGGGATTTCATTGGTCATGTAGATTGCTCTTGGTAGTATGGCCATTTTTACAGTGTTGATTCTACCGATCCAGGAACATGGAAGGTCTTTCCATCTTCTGATGTCTTCTTCAATTTCTCTAAGAAGAGGGTTTTCTTGGAGTCACTTTTGCATTACTTTAATCTGAGAATATACTTACAAATTTTTATGGAGCTCAACCAAAATTTAAATATTTATTTCTGTAAAACATATTGGTAGAAATACTAATAGCAGAATTTTTACTGGCTATGTCTCCATTAGGAAACTTCCTGATCTGCTCAAAGTATGGCTGGTCCATTGACTAGATAAACTGTTTATCATTCATCTCAATGCAAGATAGATATGAAAATGCACTTAGCTTTTAGAAACTTTTAGTAATTGAACTTTGCCATAATGCTTTTTATTGTATTTTATAAAAGTATCAGTCTAGCAGAGTAGAAATTTTAAAAAGTTTGAGTAACACTACTTTAAATTGATTTTTTGTATACTACCATTTCCATAAAATTTGTTTTGTTTCACTTTTATAGGTGAAAATAAACAGGGCTGATAGTACTGGAGGTTGATAGAACCCAAGGTTGAAAATTTCGTGTGTATCTGTATCTCTTCCTAATGAGTTATTCTTGCATGAGAATTGAAAGTGGAATAAATATAGGAAGGGAATCCTTAGCACTTCACATCAGGCTCAGTGGCTCATCCCTATAATCCTAGCTATCCAGAAAGTGGAGATCAGGAAGGTCATGGTTCAAGACTGGCCCAAGCAAAAAGTTCATGAGGTGCCATTTCAACATAGAGTTGTTGGGTGAGCTAAATCAGATCATGTAAATGAAGCACTTAGAACAATACCAAGCAAGAGCTCAACAAATAATAGTTACTAGTACTATTGTGCTGCAGTCTTGTTTTGTATTGTTTTCTTTTCAGTGCTGGGAATGAATTCAAGGCCCTGTGCATGCTAGGCAAGCTCTCTTCCAACTGAGCTATATCCCCAGCCCAGTACTTCTATTTCGTTATTTGCCATTTTTTCATGGATGCGATATTCCAAAGCTGGAAAATTTTAATTTATATATATTAGTCTATATATATTAGCCTTATATATGAGGCTCAAAGAAGGTACATCTGAATTATCATAAAATGAAATGGATCTGTTTATTACATTCTTTAATTGGCACCTCATCGTCCTCAAATATGATTTACTCTAACTAAGATTGGTACTGATTTCTCATTATAGTAATCAAAACATAATATTTATGTTTTTATATATCTTATCATGTATGTGATCAAATTTATTTTTTTTCTTTATTCATTTATTCATATGTGCATACATTGTTTGGGCCATTTCTTCCCCCAACTCCTCCCTCTCCTCCCCACCCCCTGCACTTCCAGGCAGAACCTGTTCTGCCCTTTTCTCCAATTTTGCTGAAGAGTAGACATAAGCAATAATAAGAAAGGCAGAGTTTCTGCTAGTTAAGATAAGGATAGCTATACAGAGAGATTCCTAGCATTGCTTCCATGCACAAGTGTATTACAACATGAATTGATTCATCTCTCCCAGACCTCTTCACTACTTCCTGGTCACCTTCCCATAATGACTCTTATCATTTTAAGGTTATTGTATTAGCTCCTCTGCAGTGGGAACGTCAAACACGTTCAAGTTTTGGGTTTCCTGCCTTTCCCTATTCCTCTTGTATGTGTTCACCCCTTAGCGTGTGATCCAAGTCTAATAATATTACTGCATTTGTTTTAAATCTAAAGTCCACATATGAGGGAGAACATATGATTTTTGGTTTTCTGACGTAAGATGATGTTCTCCAGTTCCATCCATTTACTTGCAAATGATAAGATTTCATTCTTCTTCATGGCTGAGTAAAACTCCACTGTGTAT